CCGCAGAAAAACAGAGCAATGACACAATATGTGAAATGGTGGCACCGACGATTTTGTACACCCCAATGTCGTGCTCCAGATCGAGTCTTAGATATAAGAGATAGTGATTTTGATCCGCGAGGTGTCGGACTTGGGCTGCTCCAATCTTGGAGCTTTGCTGGAGGCGAGGAATGTCGTCTGATGACGCGTTTGAATTCCTCGGCTTCTAGCATGCGTCCGAGTAGCATTTAACCACATTTCTGCTGGCGGTGCGTTCTCGATACACGACCGGATATGTATTGCTCTGGTCAAGTCCTTTTTCTAGGCTATAATGTATGGTGTCTGACGCTTGTAGCTATAGCGAGTGCGGTGAGGTGCAGGCTAGCAAGATTGCTCAAGCTCCCATCACTAGTGATTATGTACGTGCTAGTAGCGCGTTAGTATAATAGCATTACTTAAATAGTGTCGCCGTGCTTCAGTCGCTGACGCCGCCTCAGTCGCTGGCGTCTTCCGAGGACCACGACACACTGCGTAGCTTTGCCGCCGACCGCGACGCCTGGAAAGATTTTACCGAACGTGTCGTCCAGTGCCTCACCCGCGGCCACAAGCGTCGTAGGGCGACAAATGAAGAGCCACGGCCCGGCGAGCGAATGAAGAAGGAGATTGCTCGTCTCTACGTGTGCGAAGTCTTTGTGTAATTATGAAGATAACGCGAAACACGTTCATATATATCAATATTGACCGTCGCTGGTGAAGGCGTTGTACTGTGCATCGCCTGCACACTCCCCCAAAGCTGCCACGTGCATCCAATCCAATGGCAGCGTATATATCATTTCATCCAATCCCATCGCAGGAGATATCGATTTTAATCAATGTATCAGGTTTTCAATGTGGGCGATTGTTGACTTCACAGCCACGTGGTGCGGTCCGTGCAAGAAAATTGCGCCCACCTTTCGAAATCGACCACTTGTGCTTCAAGCTGCGGCTGCGATAACGCACAAATTCTCGACTTGATGATAAAGGGTCTTGCCTGAATTGCACGCGCTACGCTTGCGCTTCAGAGGCACCTACGCAGGCTCGGCAAAGGGTTCGCCTTGGCCACGTTGTGATGACATCAACAGCGATCAGCGTGTCCAAGGACGTTACGACGGCAGTCGCTGTCGCGTAGACCCGCTCAGGCTGCGCTGGCCTCGGTAGCCGGCAGTCGCGTGCTCCGGTCGCGCTCACACACGCGATAGCGCACGATATCTTGATAGCGTCGCGCGGCGGCGCGTCTTTCCTTGGATACACGTGGCGCAGCGTCAGCTATGGCACGGACAGACCGGACGGTCGTACGTCCTCGGTAGCGTACACAAGCGCTAGGAGCTTGGCTGCACTGGCAGGAAGGTGGGCAAGTGTAGCGGACGCACTCTTGAGCCTAGGTCGCGCCGGCAGCGACAGTTGCGGCGATCGCAGCGAGAGGCCATGGCCTTGCGTCCTGCGTCGCACGGCGTGGCGTCGGAGCTTCGGGTGCGCGGGGCGGAGGATACCCGGTGAGGTGCGGCGGGGCGGGTAGCAGCACGACGCGGCGAAACGTCGAAGTGAGTGGCTGTCGACAGCCAAGCAAGCGCCATTCCTGCGCCCTGGAGCGCCAACCCGCAATACAATTCAATCATGGACCTCTCGGTAATTGATAGGCAGGACCCGTATTCGATTTCATAGGATATTAACTCTCAATA